GCGAAATATGATGCTCAGTGTCACAGTAGATCCAAGCACGTGCTCAACCTCGTCATTAGCCATGCTTCCTACTTCTTATCAATCTTGGCATTATGAATGCTTAGTTGGACATCCGCTCGCAGAGAAAATTTGTTCGTTACTTTCGTCGGTCGCTGTTTTGACGTAGAACTTTTCTTTCTCCGCGTTTCGAAGGGGTTGCAAAGTTGCGGGTTGATGTCACAAAAACTTGGTCACGGAAGTAACGTCCCTCTCTACTATAATCATCGTTATTAGATTAACTCAGTCATGAGACTCCAGCGCAAGGGGTCCCGTCCCCCCCCCCCCCCCCCCCCTTCCGCCCTCACTCACTTTATTTCGCCTCCCGTCGTTTGGAGCGCCATCTACGGTCTGCGCGTCAAAACACTTGTATTCTTTACTAAATCTTTTCAGAGAGGGCGCTGACTCTATCCAGGTGCTAAAGTTCCTTGATACTTATTTTAAAAATACCGGCAACCAATACAAATGACAAAGCACATTCCGCTGGAACAAAATGGCGGCGTTCAGTTCAAACCTCTGCTGTGCGCCGCCGTTCGCTTCCTAAAACCTGCACCGTCACGCCGTCGGCGCTTCAAAGCATGTCGCTACTGGTAGGAAGCTCTTATCTAGGGATTTTAGCAGCTGCCTATTGTAAAGAGAAAAGCCAGATCATCATCAACATGCTCTCGGATATCCCATTTAAGAGAGGGACCAGCCCAAACCATGGGAAGCGTGTGCAGTGCAATGGCGGAAACCTCGGACGCAAATTGATTGTTCATGCGTATGCGTCACTTGGCGTGCAGAAAGAAAGAAAGCGGGCAATGAGGCCAAGCAAAGTTTGGCGACGCTTGCAAACGATCGACGCTTTCACCTCCTCGACGCTCGTGTGGCAGAAGCGGCCCATGAACCAGGTTATCCCGATCCAGAAGTTAGAAACACTGAAATCTAGGCACGCTGCTGCTTTCAATCAGCTGGCGCGAAACTAAAAGGCGACGATTATATGACATATTGTCACGAATGACTGGCAGAGAGACGGGTAGTGTAGTAGGAAACTAAACGTGTAATAAGGACGAATTTGTGCCTAACTCGAAAATACTAAGAGGTATACCGTCGCAGACGTCGAAGGTCGGCGGAGTAGCACGATCGAGCGCAATAGCGAAACTGATTCGGGACCGCCACGCGGAGCACCTTTTGTACCCGTGTTGGTTTCTGAAACATTCTGCGTAGAACGTTCGGCGTGTAGAACATTCGAACCTTGAGCAGACAACGGACAAGGTTCTCGAACTTACGAGAACGCTATGTTGAAAGAATAAATAAAAGTAGCTTCCACTTCAAGGAATCGAACCTGGGGCCTCCGCGCGCAAGCCGAGCACGCTAACCTGTAGGCCACGCCCGCACTCGCTCGGCGACGCGCGTGGCCATTACTACCCCCCTCCCCCCCCCCCCCCTTTAAGAAGCGCATCGTCCCTATGCAAGGTACCAAGAAACAAAGCAGGAAAGAATGAAAGACGTTTAAAATTCTCTGTAATGCCGAATTAGAGCGCAGCTCTTGAGGAGGAAGTGGAGAGGGTACGGAAAGGAGCGTTTGCCCCTTCTCCGTACCCTCCCCTCCTCCTCTCCTGCTCTCCTCTGCAAGCAGCGTTTATGAGCAGTTCCCTAACTGAGCTAATCTAATAACGTTGACTATAATTCAGGTGAGGTCGGGTCGCGTGATGTCACTTGATCTCACGTGACTCGACGTCAAGTGATACACCAATTCAGTTTCCCCGCTAAATTTGGCGAGGAAATTGATGTACCGTGACCTGACGTTCCGTGAACTGTACATACATTTAGTCTCTCCGCAAAATTTAGCGTGAAAATTTACATCACGTGACCCGGTATATTTTCCAGCTAAATTTGGCTCGAAAATTAATGTCGCGTAACCTGACCTCACGTTGATTATACACCATTTTGTGTTCCCCGCTAAATTTCACTGGAAGATTTATGTAATGTGACTTGACATCACGTGACATATACACCAATTCAGTTTCCCCGCTATATTTTGCGAGAAAATTAATGTCGCGTGACCTAACGTCACGTGAACTATATACAAACTTAGTTTCCCCGCTTAATTCAGTGAGTCACGTGACATCAAAATGTCCGCCAAATTTAGCGGGGAAACTGAATTGGTGTATAGGTCACGTGACGTGTGGTTACGGCCTCTCATATATCTCCCCTCCTCTCATTCCTTGTGTCACTATCACATAATTCCAAGGACATTCTTTGCTCATTGGTCCATGGTAAAAAAAAAAGTCCGGCTTTTCGCGGAGCATTACCAATTGCCTCCTTTTGTGCAAGGGTAACATATATGCAGATGAATTTTAGATGAGGTATATCCTATGGAAACGTACACGTTTCAAAATCAGAAAAGCATCGCTTCTTACTCCGACTACCAAATCTTCTAATAACTACTTCGCGCGGCGTATGAACAATGCGCAAAACTTGCTTTTTTCTTCAGGTGAAGACGAGTATAGACACATGTGCTTCAATATCTGTGTACTCTATAGAGTGCACTGTAGTTATAATAGCGGCTGTCCCCAAAACGGAGCTGCGTCGATAGTTCCACAACACAGCAGGTCTAGTAAACGTTGCCAATGCAGGGGGCAAGTCGTTTGGTTCTTGCGTGGTAGTTGCGGTGACGTCATCTAAATGCCTCGACGTCTACCCACTATTTCTTTCCATCAGCCAATCAGAGCTCGGCGTTCTGACGTCACCCCAACCCCTGCAAAAGAGGCAGACGAACTTGTGCTCCGCAGAGGCAATCCCCGAGACTACGTCTGCAAGTTTTATAAAGGAGTGACTGAAGGAAAGAGACACATTCTATCCTTGAAATTGCACCTCGACAAAGAAGCTTCTGAATCAGCGACATAGCGTGCGGCTTTACTTGGATCGCACCAGTTGCAGTAAGCTTGTGTATACAGTGAAAAAAACATTCAATCCCAGTAGCTTCTCGTGCTTCTTTTTCAACGTCCCATTGATCACCTTCAACAAAACGTGTCGACATGATAACGCGAGCAACAGACAAACACTAAGCGTCCAGATAATTTATTCTTATCCAAAGCTTCATCTTACCCGTACTTTGCGCGCCCAATGACTCGGCATTTAAAGACTAAAGTAGGCTCGCTCCCAATTTTGACTGGGTGTCTTCCAAGGAACAGGAACCGTGTCAGACCGACACCATCACCTTCGAACGCCCCACACTTCCTGGATGAAACGTCATCGCAGTCTGATGGCGCCAACTCGGTGATTGGTCCCGAGCCCTGCGCCGAGCGTCCTACAACGCTTTGATTGGGCACGTGTCCCAACCGAGCACTGACGCAGCACTCCCGTCCAATCTTTGTCTTGACTCGATCTCGCTTCGATGTCGTCAGAAATTGTAGTGCACAGGCTCTCATGGTGGTGTTGGTGTTGGTCGGACTCTGCACACACGATTTTGGTTCTATAGTGGTTAGGATAAGATGCCAAATCCTCGGAACTGAGCGTCTTTTGTACACGTGAAACGTAGCATTAATCTTGGTTCAAAAGTATTTCAATTCAGCTTTGTGATTACTTGACAAAAAAGAAAATTTACCGTTACCTCAAAAAGCAACCGTTCTCTGATTACTTCGGATTGTTAGAACGACAGATATTTCTGTCGGTTTGAAAACGGATGTTCCATAACCATTCATTATCTAACTAAAATCACCGAACCAAAAAAAAAAAACTTATCTTCTCACTCAACGAATTTCGGTAGGCATTCCTCCTGTCAGATACTTGGTTCATGGATTTCTTTGGAGGAAACTTGTACAAAGGGCGCCATTAGAAAGGGGACAGAAAAAATAGAGGGTTACAAGTAATTTTAGTACTTCAAAATTAGTCAGATTACTCTCGTGATGACTTCCCCAATAAAAGTAATCAAATTATTACAAAATTACTACAAAAAAGTAATTTGTTATTAGCAATTTTATTGCTTGTAGTGGGTAGCGTACAAGCCTGGCGTTACCTAACCTCCAAAAAGTATAGAATTTCGTTTGATATTTAAATAGCATAGCAAAGCGAGTTTTGTTTTGTTCTTTATCTCCCCTTTTTCTGCTTGAGGAAATCAACAATGTTAAGATGTTCAAAAAGCGCAGAATTAACAAAATAGATGCGGGCTAGCTGGTCAATTTTCAACATTTTGAACGCCCGAGGCTAGGAAAAGAATTTTACAACATTTCGCTCCTAAGCTTCGTTTCACGTTATGTGCGAACGAAGTCAAGGCTAGAAGCGCAAACCCAACAATCTGAGCGTTTCGGGCTCGCACGTGCGCTCGTGCACTACAGGCGCTGTTACAAGCAGCATGCTCGCGCTTGTAGCGTCAGTTTCGCTCGAACATAAGGTGAAACGAACTATAGTTCTGCGTTTTCAAGATGTTAAAAATGGTGTTCGCTTTTGGGACAACCGCTCTTTATCTTTGTGTCTTTCGGGTTCAACTGGCCATCATATTCCTGACTGAAAACTTCAAAAAATCGCTTTTAACTTTCGAATCGGATAATGCTGAGTATACAATATTTTGGCATCTCGTTCCCACCACTGGCGCTATGTCCAAAACAAGTCTGAGCTCTCAACGATGCCTAGTTCATTCTTGCGACAACATAAAAAGCAGTTCTTTTTATCGGCTCACACCCTGCACTTCTACTGCAACAAAACAATTAGTCTTTTTTGTTTTTGTTTTTTACAACAGGGTATATTTTTACAAAATAGACAAACAACAGACGTAGTTTCTTTAGCATTCCAAAAGCAGCGGCCCGAGCAGCCTGCTTCAGCGTGCTTGTTCGCGAACATGTTTTTTGGTGACCAACGAACCACTTGCAAAATTCCCACAATTCGTGGCGCCCGACGCGCACCACGGATTGTGGGGAGGTCCTTGCATCTGTCACGTGACACTTCAGGGAGTGGTAGAAAAAGGGAGAACGAGAAACGCCCCATTCTCGGCCGCTCGTCTGCATTGACGCCGTTGCCTCCGTCGTCTCCCAGAATGCCTTTCGGCACCAGTGAGGGCGCTGCACGTTTTGCAAAGTCTCTGCGCAGCCCCCAAGTGTGAGGGGGGTTTGCCAACAACAGGCTGGGCTCGACGTGTCGGCGGGTTGCGGCGTTTGTCGCCTGTCGCTTCAGTCGGTCCTTAGGAACTGTTGGTCACGATGATGAGACCCTCGGGAGAACCCAGGGGAATGACGCGCTCGCGGCGGGCGTCGTAAGCAATATCGAACGGTCGGAAACGACTCTTGGCCACGTAGCGCCTGCCAATAAAGAAAAGGCAGAAAAACATAAATATATTGCATCGATAAGCACCGAAGCCACGACAAAGGGTTTGAAACCCCGTTCACCGCCGAAAAGTAGAAGCGCCTATACTTGGTTTCAGCCTAAGTCCAGAAGCTGCCGACGCTACGAGGTAAGGGTGCGAATCAAGCAGAGTCAAAAGTGCATGTCACTAGGTCTTTCCTGTTTATGATTGGTTCAGCGATGATAGAACACGTGCAGAAACATGAGGAACACCATGGTGTAGCGCTTTTGAGGCTGTCTGAATGGTCCTATGAACTCGTAGCGTGGGCTCCATTTGGACTTAAAGGGGCACTGACACCTCAAAGGTCGTATTTTTTTATTGTCTAAAACGATGCAAATTGCAGTCATAGACACGCAAGAAATACCGCATTGCGAAAAAAAAAAATTCCCCGCCCCTCACCTCCTCGCTTCTTTTTATTTGTGACGTCAAATATCATGAAATTTAGAAGCTTTGTAGGCGACATTTCTATAACATTTTATAAGGGCAATCGTAAAACATGTTTTTAACGCAATTGCGAACGCACTACGGCCCTTCTTTTTTATAAACCAAAATTCGGAGTCCGTTGTGATGTCGCCTCTCGGGATTTTTTTCCTCCTTCGGAAAACGTTGCTGATCGGTGAGTCGGGGAATCGGACGAAGTGGTCTTTTTTAGGCCCCCACGACCTCTCAGACTTCGAAAAGGAAATCGTCAAATGGTCAAAAACACGGTTTGGTGTCTGTGCATCCTAGTTTTGGTTGTGACTCCGCCGAGGCAGCCTTTCACGCAGAAGCGGCCAGACGTCAAGCGTCGTCTGCTCGCAGCGATAAGCAGGCGGCACGGCACGTGTACTGAGGAAACCGGTTTTTTCCGGTACGCCGGCGCCCTTCTCTCCCGCTCCTCACCTCCTCGCTTCGGGTCGCGGCGGCAACGACGTGGTCACACACGCATTCGGAGCGGAGGCGTGAAAGAAAGTCGACGCGCAAGGCCGCTCCATATTTGACTTTACTACACTGGCGCGGATCGCGCGGGAACTTCTAATTCGGCATTTGGAAATTGTTTTGTTTACTTCACAAATATTGAATACCCAAGTTTCTAATTTTTGCGGTAATGTCCAGGCATCGTTTTCAATCGTTTCGGATAATAAAAATATATATATGACTTTGAAGTGTCAGTGTTCCTCAAGGTGGAACGAAACATAGAGTAAAAGACAGCTTAAGGAACGTGGGGCGTGGCGAATCTGACCATCTCAATATCCCTTTCAGCCAATGAGATTGGGGCTTTACTGATAAGAATCATCTGACAACCAATCACGAAGCAAGGAGCATGAACCCAATGAGGCACGCCCCGCATTTCTCGCTTGCTCAAACTATCAAATTCACCGCCTAGAAGTTTTATTTGACAACTTACTTCACGCCTACAACTGTATTTCCAAGATCTGAGCCGCCAACTGATGCGAGACTACATAGAAAACATTGCATTACATGTGCATTGTGATATACAAGGTCCGAAGGCTTAAGCTGCACCTGTCTATTGCCTCCACGCTGAGACTGTGCATAGTTCTTTTGGGGTGATATGGAGGACAGAGTGAGTGGGGATTCAAAACAGAAACGCATGAACCTGGGCCGTACCTCAGTTTTTCCTTGGCGTCGTCGAAGCTTTCTGCGAGGAAGTAGGTGCTCTGGTACGTGAAGTCCTGGAACTTCTGCACCGCGGTTTTTTCGGGATCGAAGTTTACGATCGTGGGCTTGCCGGACAGTGCATGCTGGAATCGAAAATAATAAAAGACAGCCGAGTAAACCACGTGGTCTATCATCCCCAAGCCTCACAAATGTGCCTCATTAATGTGGGAATAAATTCTATAACCTTTTCGGCACTTATCCCACGGGGAAAAAATATTGTCGAGTCAATGGGCTGGGGATTCATGCGCGGCGTGTGACATTCGGCGTAAGAAAGCCACTGTACATGCTCAGAACACGTTAGGCATCGCCGTCAACAAAGATGACAGCGCGCAGAAGGCGATTATTCGAATGGTCTTCAACATGGCGCGTGGAACACTATCAGGAAGATATTGCACACGTTAATGTATACAAGGGAGTATCTACGAAGGCGCGGCTCAGCACGACAAATAAATGATTTTTTCTTGCTTGTATTTTTTTTAATTAAAAACTCGTCGTCATTATTGTTAGTGTAGCTAAAAGTGTGTTTTCGCGGAAGTCGTAACATTTCGTTTCTGCCAACCTCGGTAGAAGAAAAAAATAAAAAAAGCGAAAAAAGCGCCAATGTCGTGTTTGCGCTAGAGCCTCCAGTCCGACTGCTCATTTCATTATACAAGATTATGCATTCAGACGTTACAACAAAGAAGTGCGCAGGCATCCCTGGAGTGCTCACAGAGGCTGCAGTGACCTCTGGTCGTACGTACCTGTATTTCGCCGACCGAGGACAGCAAGCCAGCGCCGAAGGCCCTGATCTCTCCGTTCTGCTTGCACAGTCCGAACTCAACGGTGAAGGCGTACAGCTGCGAGACAGAGAGAGGAGCCATTCACTAAGCAACGCTGCAAGGGCAGGTCCGGTCGCCATGGGTGAAAAACGCTTTATCAGACGCCCATCTGGCAACTGTGGGCACGCCTTAGCACGGCTCGACACTAATCAGACAATTATGCACACTGCACCGTTTGCATGGCTGCGCCCAGCAGCCTCTTTTTTTGCAGATGGTGTGTGTAGAGTGTATGGATCGTCTGCTAGTCAAGCCTGAGTGGTAGATGGATGCCAACGGCTAAACTCTTTAAAATGGTCGGTAGCTTACGCCACCTAGCTTAGAAACCAAAAGTATTATTTTCCCTCCTTGCCAATTTATTTCCATTCTGTCTTTTTGTTCCACACCGCCTGGACACTCCGAGTAGAAAACAAAACATTTCCCACCCAAAGTGGTCAGACTAACTTTTGAAACATGGGTGCTTCCAAACGTGTATATACCAAAGCTTTCACCTGGAAGACTCCCTAGTTCCTTAATCCTTTAGCACAAAGGTACGTCAATACCTCAGATCTCAAATTTTGTTCAATATGAACGAAGATGTGAAATACGCCGTTTTACCACAGCCGCGCGAGCAAAGCCGAAGCTTCAAATGTGATCTCAATGCTTTAGTTATTAGAAACGCTAATATTCCCTGTCACCATAAACTTGGCAGCCAACGAAAGCTGCTGTCTATTGTCTACAGCGTGCCAAATAGAGCATTGGGAAATGGCAGACGTATGCTCTTGTTTTAGAGATCGCTACGTGTATTGCACCGTCACTAGCTTTAGCACAATAAGCCGTAGCGTTTCTAGTCTGCAAATGTTGCCAGGCATTGACAACATGGAAAAAGGAACAGAACAGCAATAACGGGGAATACTTTTCAGCAGAAATCGAAGCAATTAATGTATTGCAACTTTTGCACTTTCATGTATACATCATTTTAGTCCAAGTGTGCAGCAACCTTGCCACTTTGAACACTCTGGTTAATTAGACTAGATGGTCCATCTTGCGGTTCGAAAAGTGTCGCAAACAACAGACAGACAAAATGTATCGTTTCAGTTGTATCTTCATCTGTTATTTTTCGGTGCTTCTTAAACTTTAAGGTTGCCTTTGTAATAACGGCATCCCGAGGAGCAGGTGTTTCGACAGTTAATACTTTTTTATGCCAAGTTTGACAGCCATGAAAATGATACACTGACAATTGGAAGGACCATTGCAACCTTTTAACCCGATACCCGATTAAGAAGTTAACTGGCGATTAATTTCAGAGCCCTACATTTTTCTTTTCTTCAAGTAACTAAATTCAAGAATAAAAGTCAGAGGGAAAGATGTGTTGTCACCGTAGCCACTTTCTCGATGTTTTCGTCGGAGATTCCCAGGGAGGCCAGGCCGATGGCTTGAGAAAACTGGGCGAAGTGCGGGTCCGCGAACATGGGCACGTGACCAATTAATTCGTGGATGCAGTCTCTGGTAGATAAAAACAAAACAAGCAAAAACACTGGATTAATACAAGCTGATCAGTCGTTTCATCTTTTTTTTTTTATGACAGATAGATAATTTTGTTGTTTCAATATGATAATAGGGAAGTTGTAAGCCTGTAGAACCTGTAGATAGAACGACTTTGAAGAGATGTGAAACTTTTCGAGATTTTAACTTCACCTCTTCGATATGAACACACTTCCGCTATAGTTTAGAGTAGTAAATTCGGAATACATATATTTTATTTTTAAGTGGCGAATCTTTACTGGCATGTCTTATAAAGGCTAACTTCATGAATCAACGAAGAGATCAGCTTTATGGACGGAAACTTTAGAGCTGATCAAGAAATTTTAATTGGTTCTTTACATGCAATTTTACAGTAAGACCACACACCGCGAATTCTAAAATAACTTTTTCGGTCTTCGAATCTCCTAACAAGGTTTGAAATGTGTCGAACCTCTTGACTCAGCAACTTAGAAAGCTTAAGATTCGTCCAATTAGCTTTTCTCGCAATCTCAAAAATTTAAATGAGGTTGAACTTTTCTAACCTAGTAATTCGAGGCTCGTGGCATCTCTAAGGTCTCAAAGAATGTTTCGTAATTCACCTTGGTAGATGCAAGTTACAATGAACCGGTGAATAAACGTAGTATGGAATATGCGTTCAGCTTTCCAAGGGAATCAATTACCTTGAACATGAAGTTCGTGATAAAAACTGAGGGAAAAAAAACGAGGGCAAAACAGGGCAGGACCAAGCGCTGCTGATTCACAGCTAAAGGTTCATTCCAAAAAGAACACGCACAGCACATTTACTCTCGGTAGCATGCCGACTCCAGCAAAACCTACGGCACCTAGCGGGGAAACACTAAACTGAACAGTACAGATCCTTTATCGATTTCCGGTCGTTCCTTATGGCTTCCGCGATCAGATGTCGTCGGCGGTTGGCTTGGTGGAACACTTGTCCGGTGACATGTTGTGACTGTCGTATCAGCGGGTTGCCCCGGCCGCTCCGAACGAAACCGACGCTATACCGCGCGAATCAGACATTGTGCGTTTATCGACGTTTACCGGCACCGCAGTCCTTCCATTACTTCTCCGAAGAAGGTCAAACCTTCGAAAGCTCGCTCACAGCAGCACCGTCACAGCAGGTAGGAAAAGTAGCGGTTAAAAATCGGGGCCAACCTTTTCGAGCCCTGCTTACCTGCTGAAACCCGATAATTGTGCGCTGAGCTGGCACATGGCACTGCAGAACCTGTTTTAGAACGCCATATTCGCCCGATAGGGACGAACCCCTAGAGGTAGCTAACGTCTCCAATACTATAGTATGTATGCTATTCCTAATAAATCTTAAATTCTTGGACAAGGCTTTGTCGCGTTCTTTCTATTGTTTCGGTCGTTGTCGTTTCTAATCGCGCTGTTTGCACCATGAACGTTCCTCAACTTAAACGCTTCTCAACAGTTTAAGAAAGGTAGGACGTGGCTTCTTCGCCTTTCTTGATTCCTTCTCCTTATCGTAATCCCTTCTCGTTATCCTTACTCCTTCCCTTAATGCCTATTTTTACTCCTTATCCTTATCCTTAGCCCTTATCGGTAAATGCCACAATCTCAGTGGCTGCCGAACGATAATTAGGTTTCGATAGTCGTTCCGCAATGGCTTTCTTAAACTGTTCGTGTAGCTATACGGCAAGCAAGTTCGTCTGCTCCTTCCGGATCTTGTGTGAGTAGCGACGCTGTGGTGGTGTTCCGGCTTGTTTTAAGACAAGGTTATTATTATCATCATCGTGTGTGGGTTTACCTACCAAATGCGCCCACGTGGCGTTTGTCACCCCCCCCCCCCCCCCCCCCCTACCCGGGCTCAACCAATGTCCGCGCGAGCTGGGCTGCCTCGTCATCGGGCGTTCATTACTCATTCTCTGTAGCTCTTTGATTGGCGTGGCCCTTTGTGCGTTCCAATGCACCAAGAAGGACACATTCTAAGACGCTTTCTCGCCGTATAGCAATTCTATCACGTGTACAGTGGTGTACAGTTTTTTCTTTTTTTTTGCTACTGGGTCTGTTTGACACTAATCGCACTTTCTCATTGGCCACTCGGTGCACCACGTACGGTTCCGGCGAGTGGTGCGGGGCGGAGCTGTGTCGGACGTATTGCGTGCACTGGAACACCCGGAAGGCGAGACTGGCCAGGAAGTCCCGGGCCGTCACGAAGCCGGCAGCTGGCCGCAGGCTGAAGCCGCTCTTACCTGGAAGGGGGAAAGGACCACCGGGCTCAGACATTCCGTCGAATGCGAGTTAGCTGCGACCGCAGTCGACGTGATTTTTTTAACGAACCACGTTTTGTGTCACAAGGGAATGCGAAAATTGTGACGTCACATCGCGCGACACGGTGAGTCACACGGTAACGCTGCGACGCAGCGTGACAGTCCAACGCCACGCGACGCCATGATGTCACGTCACGTGACTATATGACGTCACAACATAAGGTGACGTCAGCAGGTGTCCCCTTGAAGGGACACCGACATCCCCAAAAACTTTTTTTTTCGTTTCTTGCCAGGCGATTCATTATGATGTCGGAATACTACCCAATTAACATTTTGCTACAGAGTCACGTATTTTTTAATATAAGCAGTATTCACTGGGCGCTATATTTGTGGGCGATGTCTAGAGGGCATGCTCTGAACGAGCCCACATTAATAGGCTGCTAAGACCGACAATCTAGAGGGTGTGGAATGCACGTTGCAAAGGAACCGGGGAAGCTCGCCATCAGCCCGCGCTCAGCAGCCGCGCACACAGCTATGGCCGCCAGTGAATACTTCCTATAGCCAAAACACGCAACTGCTCGAAATTGAAACCGAAACCCACGCACCGCACGGAGATGTGGAGAGGAGAGAGTGAGTGGCGAAAGTCACGTGGCTACACCCGACTGTGCGATTTTCTTTTTTTTTTTTTTCTTCCGGGGGCAGGAGACGTAATGCGTTCGGGATCCGCTCGCAGTGCGATTCCTTTGCAGTTATGTTTGTTCCGCTCGCTGTTCTGTACTTCAAGATGAGTTGTTTTGTGCATTTAAGTGTTGGCAGTTAGTAGCGAGTGCCCGTGGGGAATTCCCGTGATCGGCTCCGAAAAGAATACTCCCAAGATGTTGCGTGAAGAGCTGCCTCACATCTGAAAGTGGCATTGTGCGTCAGAGGTGTCAATAATGGAACCCGATACCATTTAGTTCAGCGACGTATCGTCTACCAAAATTGTTGTTTTTTTTCAGTGATAATTGTAAAAAAAAGAAAAAAATCTAAACATTGCAAAATGTTTGAAAAAGAAAAAAAAAAAAAAAACGGTACGCCCACACAGGCATCGAACCCGTGCCCGCCGCTTGTCCAGCGGACTTCTTTCCACTGAGCTACTGAATGAACTCTTTAATGCAGCAATGCATCCGGTCGACTGTATGTCGGAAAGTTTGCTGCCGATTTCCTTCCAGTACATGCACTTCCGGCTTGAAGTCTGGCAGCACCACGCATTGGCCACATTCGCACCAAGTAAAGAAACCGTACGCGTGCGTATTCAACTCGATATACGCACTTCGTGCTTGAGGTTTGAGCGAGCGATGACTTCAGCCACGAGAAGGTACGACGGCTCAGCGCCGTCTTCGCGCAATCGGCTTGCTGGTCAGGCGTGTCTTACGGGATGAATATCTGTTCTTTTGATCGGTCCAAAATTTCTCTTTCGAAGGAAGACAGAATTCCCCGGTACCGTAAACAACAGTTCTGAAGTAGAGGTCCCACGCCCGTCGTCCGCCCGCAACTCCCACGAAACGCGAAACGACGCCATGTTGAAAATTATGCAGTGAACGCAACGTATTTGCAGTTTTTTGGACGCCACAAGAAACGGGTTTCATATTTTTTTCTATTTTTAGTATTGACAGTCTGCCTTCAATGACCCACGACTTTGATTAAATTTGGTGGTCGCTTCGAAACCTTAGAAAACGGCCCGTGACCACGGAGAAGAGAGTGAGCGCGACTCGAACCGGCCAGTTCTTGATCGGCGGTTTTCGGGCGGAAAGAAACCGAATTTCGAGCCGCAAATTCCGTTCTGGGTAGCTGGGCTCTCATATGTCACGTACAACTAAAAACCTCGGCGAGCAGAACTACCCTGACAGTGTCCCTTTAAACGCAGCAGGTGTGGCACCACGGTGCCACACCTGCTGTGTTGCCATATCAACATAAGGTGATAAGGCAGCAGGTGTGGCCCCGTGGTGTCACCGCGGGGTCCACCACGGTGCCACACCTGTATTGTGACCTATATGGTGACGTCACCTATATCACCGGTATAGTGAACAGAAACATGTGGTACAAATTAAAAGCCTGCTGAGCATCATCGAAAACCACTAAATCAACTCAATTTAGAAAGATATAAGGCAGGTGCAGCATTTCGCGGCGTTCCAAGAAATGAAAACGCTCAATTAGGACGCGATGTTAATTTTGCCCTAGCGGCCCTGTCCCGCGGAGGCACGGGCACGTGGCATGTCCGATGCCATCGATAGGCCCGTTTGAACTTGCGGATTCGCGGGCGGATCCGCGCAGGCGGAAAGCGGATTTTGGAGCCGGGTGGTGAAATCGGCTCTTCGATGGCGAAAACTCCGGACATGTCAAAGACCCATATCCAAATTTCCCGTCATTGACGAGTCGATTTCGTCACCCGGCATGATAATCAACTTTTCGCCTGCGCGAATCCGCAAGCGTAAACGCGCCAGACCGTACAAAAAAAATTATATCTGGCCAGATCTGAAGATTTCAGATATGGCCATATCAAATATTTGCCACATATAACCTTATATTGTACATCTGCCAGATGTAGCCTCATAATGTCAGATATAGTCTGATATCCCTGGCTAGGTATAGAAATCCCAGATCTGGCTAAGTATGAAAATTCCAGATCTGGCCAGGCAGGAAATTGCAGCTCCCTAGAGATCGCTAATTTTGACCAAGTTTATGGTTACACAGTTTCGAGTGTAATTCGTAGTCACCCTAAACAAGCGTCCCATAGGGCTCAAGGGCCTGTCATATCACTTTTAAAATTTCTCGTCAATGGCAGCGTTTATAGTACTATGCATGCGATCCACCTTTGAACCTGGCTGAGCCGCAGAAATCTCAAAAATCACGAGAATTGTCATTCTCGTGATTTTTGTTTTAGCAGGAAATACTTAAAAGCCGAGAAATCACAACAACCAAAACCGAAATTTAGCTTTAATTCAGCGGAGCTGTCTATAGCACCTTTAGCGTTTCTAACTTAATATCAGCGTCTTTGAAGCTCTACGAGAATGATAATGATGTAAGAGATATGTCTGGCAGCTCATCCAGGTTGAAGGTTGGACAGAATGCACTGTACTGACATTGGCGAGACATTTTAAAAGTGATAAGACAGGAACTTGGGTTCTATAGAATTGTTGATGGTACTCCGAGTTACACTCAAAACTGTGTAACCATAAATGGGTTGAAATTTCCGATCACTAGGCAGCTGAAGAAACACCGTCCCCGTGATTCCTCGAGTCGCGGGCCGACGGGCCGAAGCGTTTGGGGGATATATCAAATTGCCTATTCGGGCGTAATGTTAACATTTTGAGATAATTAAGCTACATTGAAATCCTCGTGAAATTTAGCACAAATAATCCCAAACCTAAGCTTGCCAAAGCTGAAGTTTGGGATTATTTGTGTTAATATTTAGCTCGCAAACAATGAGTCATTCACAGTTTGCTAACAAAGCCTTTTTTTTACTTTTTTAAAACTTTTTTTTATATATTGAAAACCGGCTGCCAGATAAAGCTGTATATACGCCAGATAACAAAGTATATACCTCAAATAAGGCTGCATGTATACCAGATAAGGCTGTATATAGGACGTATATAATCATATAATGTTTGATATGGCCAGATAATGCTGTATATATGCCAGATAAGGCGGTATATACTTCAGATAAGGCTGTATATAGGCCGTATATAATCCTATAATGTTTGATATGGCCAGATATGCCCCAGATATAAGATTTCCATACGGAAGTCAAGGGGACAACTTTCTCTGCACTGCGGACAATGCAAGCTTCGTCGCAACTCCAAAGGCATCACGCTGTTTGTAAAAGGGGCCAGACAAAACAGCCAGGAGTTTGATGCGAACGTGCGCAATAAAAAACGAGACGAACGATAAGTTAACTGCCAGGCGTCCGCTCATTTACATGGATAAGAGACCGCGTTCCTTGCCACGTGCTGTTGATTCAGTCGCCGTGACCCTTATTTGGCGTTTGTCCGGTCTTGTTTACTGATGTGTCCATCTTTATTGCACACTGTGCGCATTCTTTTTTTTTTATGCTTGTCTGGGTTGCAACTGATATACAAGACAATGACGGAAGTGGCTGGTTACTTTCTCGTATGCTTCATCTGTTCGTTACCCATGTTAAGAACACGTATAAGGCAAGCAACTAAATAGCGTACTCGTCATGTCAGTTATCTGAAGCTGTATCTGAAATTGGGGAGAACGGTCTTCTGTGATTCAGAAACGTTAAGACACCGCATCTATACGCGTATCCACCCTAAAAGAAATGAAGTTTTGCGCATTGTTCATGCGCAACGCAAAGTAGTTCTTACAGTATTTTGTAGTCGGAAGAAGAAGCGATGCTTCCGGTGTTTTAAACGTGTACGTCTTGATAAGATAACGTATATTTAAGGGTCCCTTTTCTCGGATGAATTCGAACAAAAAGATTCGTCCGTAAATTTTTTTGTTAATATGAATTTATCCCAAAGACTTCGAATTTCGAGGTCACGACAGCAAAACAAAAAGTTAGAAAGACGGCGTCTTAGAAATGACTTTTTCTTAAAGGGGCACTGAAGTCGATTTTGAGATCGTCCTTTTGTGGTGACAACACAATCTAGACGCTCTACGTATCCCAACAGACCTGAAACTACAACCGAGCGTAGCGTATTTCCTCGTTAAACGCGTGTTCAAAATTCGCGACACGCCCTTTCGACGAAGGGCGCTTGTGGGCGAGCTATTGCGATAGCTTCGCTCGCGGAGAAAAAGGGGAGTTTTATCCGAATGTACACCTATCAGACTCTCTTCAAAACGAGTTATAATAAAATCAATCGGAACCTGCGCGTATTGTAGGGCGTTCATTGGTCCACACATTGTAGTCCGCAAAACAAAACAAAAAGGGGGTACGTATGTTTTTCTGTTGCCTTGAAATGAATAGGCGGTTTTCTAGTATAGGACTTGGTATATGTGGGAACTAACACATTTAAACAATATAAGATCAAATACGGCCTTTTTAAAAAATTGCTTCAGTGCCCCTTTAAGCGCTCAGGGTCACTGGTGTCGAGTAGAGACCACTTCAGTTTCCTTTAAAATCGCGAACTACTTACAAAAGGTTCGTCAAGGTTCATTCAGAACAATGTATCACGGTATTTACGGGTCAGCGATTGTTTATGTTTGGACCATACTATTTCTGCTTCAAGAGGAAAGAGGGGTAGTGTCTTTCGCGGTGAAAGATATGAACTCGTAGATTTCAATGGAGGGTGAGTGCAGCTGAAGCTTCGTTGCTTCCCAGCGACTGCGCGTCCATGAGTATAGCTATTTCGAAGTATCTACTGCTATTGAGGCAACACTTCTTTAAAATATTTGTCGTAAGGTTATGACTATTGCCAATTGCAAGGCGGCCAAGGCCAAATACAGCTGTGGAAATATCATTTGCTAGAAGCGAGTTGTGATGAATAAGGATGGTTACGGTTCTGTCCGACTTTGTTTTTGAACTTTGGAAAACAAAAAGTTGTGAATACAGAGAAATGAAACTACTAATTTCAATGAATTTGGAATCTAACTAATATTAACTCCGACAAACTCCGAATTTTTAGCGAAAAATCAACTCCGAGAAACACCCTCCGATTTTCACGAAGAATATACTACGAAAACACGTAATCATACGGATATTTCATCTAGAATGAGCCTACATATATCTTAATTCTCTACATAAGGGAGGCAATTGGTCGTGCTCCGCGTGGAACCGCACATGTTTTCGCTAAGGAGGCTTGAGGTCAGAACGAGCATAGAGCTCAAAAAGTCGCATTTTCAAATCGCAACGATCGCCGATTGCGCCCGCGCTCCGCACCAATCACCAGTATGGCGGCGCCCACAAAACAAAAATCGGGAACAAAAGTGGCGAGTCTTTAAGCATAGCTACTCTATACGGAGCACAAGTTCGTCTGCTTATTTGCACAGGAATTCCGATGATGGTCAGAACGCCAAGCTCTTATTGGCTGATTAAAAAACAAAATAAGGGGTAAATCTGAAGGCATCTAGCAGTGAGGACTACCCACTATTCTTCCCATCAAAGCCAATCAGGACGCAGCGTCGTTCTGACGTCACCGCCACTCTTGCGCAAGAAGCAGACGACTTGCTCTCCGTATAGTCACTGACATACTAAGAAACGCAAAACATAACGTGTCCCAAACGTTTCTTCTTTTTTTTTTTTTTATATTGCACCGCTGCCAATGCGATTACTTGCATGCCCGAAAAGAAAGCTCTACAGTTGTCGAGTACTAAAGTGGTTCCAGATATACGGAACGAGGCCGGGTAGGGTAACCGATTGCACCATTGGCTCGGTCAAGGACTCACGCTTGAGGAAGTTGGACACGTCTTCCAGTTGCGGTATGCTGTCCGGTCCGTAGTTCAGTTCTTCCTCCAGGACTCCAATGGCCTCGATGAACTCCTGGCACGCGTGTGTTTTCATCAGGGCCTTCGTACTTCTGTACACGATGCCCCTGCCATAATAAGTAAACAATTGTACTCATCGTAACCGCTAACACTGCGCCTCGAACAAGTCCCGCGCGATTGTACTGCGTTTCTCCGTATAGGGCGAGTGAAAACAAAATCATCGAGGTACCCAAATCGTGCCCGGTACGTTATCTATTTCAGTTCCCTCCCTTAAAGCACCCGTTGGGTCTTCATACCGCTAAACTAAAGCGCAACTGTTATTATAGTTGAGGACTGGATGGAGAACGGCAGGGTGTCCCTTTAGAATGCGCGGCTTCCAGCACGCGCTCGTTGCCTTGTACCGTGCTTTACTTCTTGCGCCGAGTCTGGCGTTTGAACGCCAAACCCTGCGCAAAAAGCAGACGACACTCTTGTTTGCTAAGATTGGATGGAGGAAGAAAGTGAGTAGAGACAGGGTCTTTGCGTCTACTCCCTGTCCTTCCAATCAGAGTTCGGTCTATCATCTCCTCCTCGGTTTGTCAGCGCATAGTCGCTCACAAGGTAAAAACGGCGGTGGGACTTTCAGTTCTCCAGCCTTGAGCACGAGCTTCCTAGCTTGGATTGCGCTTCAGCGTAGCGTGAGCTTCAAGAGAGCACGCGCAGCCAAGGCACGACAAGAGGCAACGATCGCGGGCTGAAGACCGGGCAATTCCAAAAGATGACATGACGTTTTTATCATGTATGCGTCTTAAGTTTGACTACCACCGTACGAAACAAGTGACCTCACCATGTCTTCACTTCGTCCGGGGTGTACTCGACTCTAGGGATGGCTTGACCGCTGCAGGAGCAAAACGACGCACATGAGTCTCCGCTGACACCCTGCGGTTCAGGTGGGCAACATCGTTTGAAACGCTTACTCACTGTTTGTAGTCGAAGGCAATCTGAGAAATTTCGTCTCGACGGGCGCGGTAGGCAGGATCCGAGAAGCCCTGCGAAATAACCATAAGGTATAAACACCGTCAGTTACCCCGTTACTGTTAGCTGCTTCACTGAAAAAAAAATTGTTAAGAACCGATGCGACGAATTCGTTCGTAACTTAACATGCCCAGTCGTTTTCAAGCTGTGAATGGGTACATAGGATCAGAAGCCATTTAATCCTTTTGAACCAATAACAATATAAAAACGGTTTCTCGAAGTATGACATGTATACTGTTTTATACCGCAAACGTGTGTCAAGATTGTTGTCGTCTGCTCGCTACGTCTATCAAGAGATGGCGCCAAGCGTCACTAGTATCAATAATTCGGTCGTCTGCGATCCAGTCCGCCGTTGATCCTGACAAGTTTGTTAGTCTCATTTTTCGCAGAAAGGTACCTCAAGCTTAAAATCTTATCAGCTAAAATGCACCACCTCAGCGCACATTCGGTGAAAGTTTGAGTTTTTTATGAGCGAAGTACCGATGTGTCCAGCCTGTTTTACAACGTAAGATCAGCTGTCCACCATATACTACCCCGCAACGAACACGATGTGCCCATCATTGGTCCCCCTTTGTTCGGCCTGATTAATGAAGAGAGCGAACGCTATCCTGAGCCCATGACCATAACGTTTCGATAAAAAAAAAAGTTGTCGAAGCCTTTTTTGTGAATTTGTCAAGTGTTAATGGCTATTGACTGCTGAGTAGAATTGAGATGATCGCCACACCCTGCCTTTTTTAAACTGTCAAATTCTATAGTAGTGATATAGGTATTTTTTAGAGAAAATCATACGGCCTAGTATAGATTAGGTAAGTCACTCTCACACGGCCACGAGGTGGGGCACCACGGCATTTGATTTAGAAAGCTTACAAGAAATGGGAGAAAAGCCCGTGCAATCCCTTTTCGTTATTACTGACGAATAGCGGGGCTGATAGTATGGTTTAAGCCCCTGAAAAAAAAAAAAAACTGCCTGCGTTGTGGCACCGAGCATTGCGAAATGTCGTGTTCAGTTCCACAGCGCAAACAGTTCCTTTTTTTTTTCTTTCGTTTTTTTTTTTAGGTTTAAGCATATTAGCAGCCCCGTTGTTCGCCGAGCTCTCTCCGTCGATTGCAGTGATTGGCTCTTCCAAGTGTTTTCCGGGAGAGCAGACGCTCCAGATTTCTTAGGCTGTGACGTCACGGTAATGTCACGTGACACACTAGGGAGTTTTCGTAGATCGTTTTCGCCGTCCCGCAAGGCCCTCCGCAACCCGCTAAGATAGCGGGAACTCCATAGTCTGAAGGCTATCGGCGCGCAGGCGCTCTTCGCTGCGGAACGCTTAGCGGAGGGGGCAACGCGGTCTACGAAAACTCCCTAATGACGTTATGCGCCACAGCCAACTTTGCATGCACGAGCATGCAAAGTCTGTAGAGGCTTCCCATATAAAGCTATCACTTTGAAACTAGTTCGACCTCCGTCGGAGCAAAACCTCCAGTGGGGTCATGAGCCTGGCAACCCGGGGATCACGCGTTAGCGAGGCGGCGCCTTGGGGTCTGTACTTAGAGACGTACGTAGAGTGTAGACTTAGCCCATGGATGCTAGACTTACGGGGTGATCGTGGTCGAGGTCGGGGCTGGACTTGGTCACCACGTGTCCGCAGAAGTCCAGGTCCGAGACGTGCAGTGGGAACCATATTCCTTTAGACGCGTCGGCGGAATAGAAGCCGGAAGAAGCAGTGTGAAAACGGGAGCACAGGTTGTGTTCCAGTTAGAGGCACGTTAACTACAACGCCCTATAGATGGCGGGGAGGTATACTTCCAAGGTGGAGTGGAAACGACGAGGATTTCCCGTGCTCCTCCTCGCTGACGCTAGTCTGCGCGCTAAAATGATTTATTTGGCCGCCAATGAGAAGCGGTCAGGGCAGGAGTACATCACAAGTGACGGCGATGTTGACGTGGGTTAAGAAAATAAGCTTGTTGCGAAGCGGAACACAACAATTCCAATTTTAACGCTCTCGCGTTTTTCGTAAAAACTACTTGATTCACGAGCACGCCGACTAGAACCTAGCGGTAAAAACAGCACCAAGGCCGACAGTCCCTGCCAACGTCTCCGCCGCCATCCCCGCTCTTCTGGTTCTTCGTTTGTCCGCGGGAGGGTGAGCGGCGAGCCGGAGTTGCGAATAGTCGGGCGCAAGTTAAGAATGCGCCAGCAGCTCGTCCCACTACCTCATTACCGCCAGCCGCTGTTCTTCCGTGATGCGTTAATAGTCCTCACCGGAGGCCCACATAACGTTGACGTTTCTTTTGAATGATCTATGAGCAGCGTGTCTTTGGCTTTAAGCTGTCCTCGACTGTAGCTGCCTTTCTTTCTCGGTCCGCGAAGCGATTCCATGTCGTGGCTGGTACATGCATGGTGATGTTTATTTCGCGCATTATTCGCTTGTATCTGAGTCAGGAACATTCACGCGTGGACCTTAATTCCTAAAGCTGTGTACAGCGGCAAATGTTGTATTTTTTCTGTTCCGCTCCAAACTCAGGTCTTAAAATTATATTGAAATGTACACTGCAAACCGAGATATCAAATACACCCATTGTTATCAAGTTACATTTATCTTTTTGATTGAACCTCGTCAGATTGCTCAAAAACAAAAAAAAACGTAAGGTTGTTCGGATTGTAAAAAAACATTAGCGGCCATACTTCTGTGCTTGTCGCCTTAGTTGGACGAAACGGTAAACGGTACTCACACTCACTTTGAATCGATAAAACATGTAACGGAAACTAGTTCCAAAAAGTAAGAGGTAACAAGATTTCCATGATATTTTTTACCAATGTACACAGCGTTGTGTAGGGCGTAAACTATATTGACCTCTGAGCCAATGTCACGATCGCGAACTTGAGATGCGAGGCCATTTTTCTTTCGATCTGTCTAATCAGTCAGCAGTAGCAAACGTGCCCCAATTCTCTCATCGAGTTGTCCTTACCTCTGTCGGCGGGCCAAGGTTTCTCTTCCCTCGTATCATGTAGAGAGTCGATGGATGATAGTAGGCCTTCTGATGATGAAAGCATCTGTGCGGGACAACGGGCATTGCAATGTGTTTAGTACAACGTTATTTGCTTTAATCAGACAACGAAAGTTCTGGAAGACGTTAGAAATGGCTCAAGAAAAAACTAGAGAGCGTAACTAATCGGCTTCTTCAGAACCTGGGGAGCTAGAGTCTCTCCGTAAAACGCTGCCTGCTAATGTGCTATATGTGCTGGTCCTTGCGGTTTCACACTGTATATTCTACAAAATGTTCAAATCAATTGTGTTTGGCTCCTGCCACTCAAGCAGTAGTTCACCAGAAGAGAGCCACTGGCAAACAATCATTCTCCTGCATGAGCGGAGCTTTGGTTTTAGCGGGCGGAGCCTCTCCAGTAGATCTTATGTTGCAACAGGCGATGGCGACATAATGTCTTATGCCTCAGATTCATGCATCATAAAAAAACACAATGTTCGCTACAGACATGATGATAAAATTATCTGCGCGCACGCCCCAAGCATGTTTGAATCATGTTAGCTTCGAACATGCTTGAACATGTCCGCAGACAGTTTTTCGGTGACCATTATGACACGGAAGAAACAATGCCTCAGGCAGCAATGTCTGCATCCTATATCTTGTAAAAAAAAAAAAAGAAGATTGGGGTGTGTGTATGTTTATGCAGCCTAGAACGTAGTCTGCATCAACGGGCAACTTGTCTTCCAGTTGTAGATGAGAAATGTTGTGAGTGCAGTGCAACAGCAAGCCTGGGGCCATTAACGTGCTTCACGCAATAGTGATTACACGACCGCACGCCGGTACGATGCTCATTCAGATCAAAACAAACAGGGCTAGGGATCCACATATTTTGTATGATGTATTAACAGGGATGGCCGCGGGTTTCTTGTGCCAGTTCTTGTACCGGCAAACGCACGAACAGACGTACCACCTAGCCAAATTCGCAATGTCGCTACACCAAGGTAGACGGGACTAAAGTAACTCACCGTAACGCTTGCCATTCCAGACGTTCAGTGGTCACCTAAAATAAAAACCACGGGATAAATTGGTACACAAAACACTTACTGCGTGGCATATTTATCTGCGCCGATCGTGCCTCAGTTCCTTAAAGGGGTGCGGCATTGGTATTCAATTAGAATGTTTTTCACTTTACACGAGCTTACTGGCACTAATGGGACTAAAGGATACTCGCACGCAACGCTACTGGCCAAAAAACTCCTTTGTTGCGGTGTAAGTTCAAGGACAAAAGCGAGCGTTTTCATTCAATCTCTCCTTCGAAAAGCTTGATGACGTAGCTGAGCGGTCGCAATACCCTCCAGTGACAATATTTGAATGCGGCTCATAGATTGGACCCGAGCATTGCGTGAGCACTCAATTTGGGCTTGTGATAATTGATAGCTCGACAGCCATTCGGGTAGTGGCCCGTGTCCAATCGCTGCAACAACGATTGGACACGACACGCAACGAAAATGACGTCAAAGACCTCCATTCGCGCTTAAGAGGACAGTGAAATGTATGGGCTTCGGGCGAAAGGAGAATAAAGACAAGGTTTTCATCTACACAGTGGTGTCTGGTGTAAAAGGTAAGCTATTAATTGGTCTAACAAGCACGTAGCTTTCACTTGTAGAAATAAAAAGCCTGTCTTTATTCTCCTTTGGCCCGAAGCCCATGCATTTCACTGTCCTCTTAAGCGCGAATGGAGGTCTTTGACGTCATTTTCATTACGTGTGCTCGCGCACACCGGCGACTGCTGGCTCGTGGAAAGAACGTGCGCCATTTATTATGGGCACCAAATTCTATGGCTCAGATTAAGGCCATTTCGTCGGTTAAAGACGCGGCGTAGCATGTGCATGATTTGGTTGCACTGGGTGGTGAGTTGATGAAGGGTTTGTGTTGCCTTAGCGTTGGATTTCAACGTGAAGCCAATCACCCGTATGGCCGATTTACGCGGGACGGGTTTGTCATCTAGTGTGATGTGAGGGGAAGATCGGCTTGTCCGCGGGAGTGTTTTGTCACGACTAGTAACACCGATTTAGTGGGGGAACATGTGAGGCCCCCACGCCGGGCGTATTGCTCGATGGTAGTAGCAGCTTCCTGTAACTGAGTTTCGATTTGTTCGAGGGAGCCTGTCGTTACCCAGACAGTAATGTCATCCGCATAAAGTGCATAACGGACATCCGAGATCTCATCCAGAAGGAGAGGGAGACCTTGCATAGCAAGGTTAAACAGGAGGGGAGAGAGTACAGAGCCTTGCGGAGTACCGCGGTTTGCCACCGGAGCGGAGGGGGAGCGAAGGTGACCAAGAACGAGGCTGGCAGACCTGTCGCGGAGGAAATTGCAGATGTAATTGTACACCTTCGCTTCGCAGCCAGTGGCATGCCAACTGTTCAAGGACCAGGTCGTGATACAGGTTGTCGAAGGCTCCTTTAAGATATGCGGCAAGGATAGGGCGATATTGAGCAGTGCTCGGAGCGTCTAGAACTTCGTATTTGAGGCGTAGCAGTACATTCTGAGTGTCAATACCACTACGGTAGCCATAGAGGGTGTGGGGAAGGGCGGAGGTGTCGGAAAAAAAAATAGTGTAGGCGAAGCTGTAGAATCTTCTCGAGCAGTTTGCCCAGACATGAGGTAAGGGAAATCGGGCGCAGGTTCTCCAAGGCTTTTGGAGAACCTGCGCCCGATTTGTTTGCCAGGCTTAGGAATCAGAACGACTGTGGCTTCTTGCCATTTCTTGGGGAGAGTACCTGACCCCCACACCTCGTTCAAGTAGGTAGTAAGTTGAGAGGTGTCAGAATCAAAGAGGTTGTACAGAAGAGGGTAGCGAATCTTGTCAGAACCAGGGGATGTGTTGCGGCGAATGTCGGTGAGCGCAGCGCGAATCTCAATATCCGCGATGGGTGCGTTAAGATAAGGAAGATTGTTAAAGGGACCCGTGTTGTCCGCGTAGCTTGGAGTTTCAGGAGGGGGAAGGTAGCGCTGCCGTAGCAGTGTGAGCCATTCGGAGTCTGTTAGGTTAGTGGCGTGGAGCAGTTTGTAAATGCCCTCCGCCTTGTCCGATTCGGCATGGCCTGGTTGTATTAGATGACGGAGTAGGGACCATGTTCGTGCAGTACCCAGCGTACCACTGAGCTTGTCGCAGAGCGTATTCCAGTTTTGACCAGTGAGGTTGGCAGCATAGGTAGCAGCATCTACATTGAGATGTGCAATGCGTAGTTTGAGCTTCCGGTTGTGGCGTCGACGTCGCCACTGTTTGGTTAGACCGCGGCGCGCTTCCCATAGGTGAATAAGGTGGGAGTCTATATCTGGCGCATCGGGAATAATGGTAAGGGTGCGCGTGTGTCGGTCTAGCCGGGTTCGCAGTGTCTGCACCCAATCAGTGAGTGTGTCGGGCGAGGTAGAAGAGGAAAATGCGCGGAAGGCAGGCCAGTCCGTGATGCGGATTTTGCGTGCCTTCCCCGCGAAGTCTTTAGTGTTGATATGGGTGACAATAATGGAATGACCACTGCCGAGCTGTTCCTCAAGGTTGTGCCAGGTGCAGGGTTTTGTGCCGCGGTACAGGGTGAGGTCAGGACACGTGTCCCGTGCAACGCTGGTGCCAAGACGTGTAGGTGTCGATGGATCAGTAAGCAGAGTGAGATTGTGTTGTTGGATCAAAGTGTGTAGCTTGCGCCCCTTAGGTGGGTCGCGAGGGCA